GTTCTGGAGAGGGGATGGCGGCAGGGCTTGGAGTCGGGCGGAGCGCTCAGAAGGAGGAGCTAAGGCTGGACCAAGGACGAACCCGGGGCCGGGCGGGGCGTGGGCTGAGTCTTGGGGCTCGAGATTCTGGGAGGCGGAGCTTAGGGAGGGGCCGCTGCGGGTCGCGGGCCCTAGGAGGCGGGGCGCGAGCTCAGGAGGCGGGGACCAGGGCGTGGCCGAAGCTGGGAGGCGGGGCCAGGGCTGCCTTGGGGTCTGGGCTTAGGAATCCTGTCTAGGGCCGGAGCCAAGAAGTATTTGGGTCCTGAGAGGCGGTTCTTGGGCGGGGCCAACATTGGGCGTGGCCAACATTGGGCGTGCGGGCGGTGAGTAGTAGAGGGGTGGAGCTTAAACTTGGAGGCGGGGCCGACGCGGGGGCGGTGAGTAGCAGGGGGTGGAGCTTGTGCTTGGGGGCGGGGCTTGAGGAGAAGGTCCAGGTGTCGCTCCTCTGGTTCGGTGGTTACTTCGGAGGCCTCAAGGTGGGCTAAGGTTCAGGGCCTGGGACCGGGCCCGTGGTGCGGAGTTTCGGTCGGGGCGGAGTCCGGGCTTGGTACAGAGAAGAGAGGCGGTGAGGGCTCTCTATGAGCGTCCGGTCAGGTCATTCTCGCTGTTCTCAGCTCTCTGAACCGTCTCTTTTGCAGGAGCTATATGGGTGAGCGTGTCCCGGTGGCCTTATCCTGGTGGCCTTATCCTAGCCCCCCTCTTCACTAACTCCCACCCCTCTAGGACCTAACTGGAGAAAGCACCCAGCTCTCAAGTCTGTCGCTAACAAGGCTTCGGTTCATCATGCTCATTAGGCACCTCCTGTGTGCCTAGCACTGTGCAGGTACCAGAGATGTAGCAGAACGACCGGGTGCGGTCCGTGCTCTCTGGGGCCCAGGGCCTCGTGGGGCAGGTAAGCCCTGAAGTAATTACGCAGGTAAAGTCCAATGGCAGGTCCGCCGGGCCGCGAGCACAGAACGGACAGAAGGGGTTTGCTCTTGCAGAGAAGGAACCTAGAGGAAGGGTAGGAGGTGGCTCCTGGGTGAGACGGTGGTGGAGGGGGTGGTGCAATACAGGTGGGACCCGAGACGGTGGTAAAGGAGAAGACAATTATTTTATAATATTCAGCCTTGTGCCTTGAGGTGAAGGACAGGGTGGTTAGCAAGCCGGTTGGTGCCGCCCGGAAACTGAACTTGGTCGGCATCTAAACCGTTTACCTTAGTGAGTCTTTCCCGAAATGCCATTTGAAGAGTCCTGAGAACTAATTTGTTAAATATACTTGTAGAAGATAGATGAGGAGGCAGATTACATCTTATTACCTCTTTAAATGAGAACCACTCGAGCCCTGCTCTGCTGTGAGAAGAGGGGAATTAATTCTAACTGAATACAGTCCATTCTCGTCTGTTAGTCTTCCACCAGAGCCAAGTGAGCACAGGATCTGACCAGAAAACTATGTCTTTTATTCCCTGAACGCTGTTGATTTAAATAAAGAGGTGGGCTGTGTTAAAAAGTTTGTCTTTTATTCCCTGAACCCTGTTGATTTAAATAAAGAGGTGGGCTGTGTTTATTGCTGTTTTCACACAGAACTAATGGCTTCTGGGTTCTAGATGTTGCATAATCCTTCTCAGCCGCAGTATCCTTGGTAGCCGGGCACCAGGATGCGATGCGTGTTAACCAAGGCTGGGTCTGGCCACCAAGCCTCAGGGTTCAGAGCTGGGTCGGGGGCGCTGCCTTGCTGTTGCTGTTTTGATCAGTTCTCTGCCTGCAGGAGACAATGAAAAGCGATAGAAACTGGCCTGTGAGATGTGCAAATCTGGGGCTGCTTTCGTTAACGTGTACAATAGCTCTTAATTACCTTTCCTCTGGGAGCAAAGGGCAGTGCAGCCAACACCGCGGCGATCAGACCGTGTGATGCGGCATTAAGGCACAAGTAAACCGGGGCCAGCAGATGGCGTAATAGCTACCTTGCCAGACTCCCGCATAGTCAGCCGCGTTTCGAGTCCAGTCCTGGACCTGGCGGCCTAAAACTCACACAGGGCGCAGGATCCCGAGAAGAGGAGGAGAAAGTTCTGCAGTGTGGCTCTCCCTCCAGGGGGTGATTTCTCGCTGTCTCTCTCTCTCTCTGGTGAGTTCATGTGCCCTATACATGTATACACGTATGAGAGAGATTTGTGTGTGTGTGTATATATATATATATATATATATATATATATGTGTGTATATATATATATATAAGGCGTGTGTGCTCGCCAGAAAGACAGAAAGAGACAAAGAGACAGTGAGAAATCACCCCCCGGGGGGATGGCCATGCTGTAATCCCTTCTCCTCCATTCCCCTCTCAGGATCTAGGGCACGCACGCACAGGCACCCCGTGTGAGTTTAAGCCACTGGGTCTAGGACTTGAACCGTGGTCAACTACATGGGAGTCCAGCGACATAGCCATTATGCCAACTGCTGGTCCCTGAATAGAATCTCTCATATATTTATATATATATATGAATAAAAACCTTGGCTGGCCCAGCCTGACCTCAGCCCATAGACAGGAAGCAGATTGAGCAACCAGTCTGCATGGCCACAGAACTGACTGGCACAGAGAGAAACCTCTGTCTTGGTGTGTGGGTTCTTGGGAGGGGCAAAAGCCAAACATCTGGAAAGATTCAGGCACTGAAGGGGCTGCCAGTGTCTCATGGACCTCACAGGTATGACTGTTCAGGTGTTGGTGACAATCAGAACAGATGCTTAAAACAAAAATAAAAATTCTAGGTGGTGGCGATGTGGCGATGCCCCGCTGGCCCTGAAGTTGCAAGAAGGGATGTGTATATGCATGAACTCTTTAAAGATTTAGGCTCGGACTTGGGGCTTTCTTTTTTTTTTTTTTTTTTAAGATTTTTTTTTTTTTTTGCTATAGGGCGCGTGCGCTTGCCAGACACACAGAGAGAGACAGAGAGATAGAAAGCGAGAAATCACCTCCAAGGGGGTTGGCTACGCTGCAATCCCTTCTCCTCCATTCTCCTCTTGGGATCTTGGGCACGCACGCACACGCACCCGGTGTGAGTTTAAGCCAACGGGTCCGGGACACGAACCGCGGTCGACTACGTGGGAGTCCAGCGACATAGCCATTACGCTAACTGCTGGTCCCAGGGGCTTCCTTTAATAACAGAAAGATTAATAACCTAATGCATTTTAACCGTATGGAACGGTTGCCTTTTAGGAAGTATGCAGTGGGCATGGCAGTTCCATCAGTATGTTGAAGTTTTTTTCCCTTTCTCTATCCTATGGCTAATGGTTTCTGTAGAAAAGGACCAATTGATTTCTTTCTGAAATCTTGCCTCAGGGTATAGAGACCTTTATAGGTCATGTTTCAACTTACAGAAAATTTTTATAGTTCAACTATAAATTATATTAGATGTGGGCTTTTTAATGGAGTTTCAGGTTAGGTAAAGTTCCAGCTTCGCTTAGTCTGTTTATAGCGCTCAGGGGTCCACATGGTGTTGAGACGGAAGCCATGTTAAAGCAGAACAGTCCGAGCTGGGCGGAGTCAGGAAGATGGAGGGCTCAGCCTCAGGCGTTAACTATTGAGATGTAGGAAGAGACGAACCAGGGCCATAGTGTGCTTCTCTGGGTGGCAGGGCCAGCGCTACGGGTTAAATTTGTATTCCCTAAAAAGATCAGCCAGGAGTCCCAATCCCTAGGACCTAGGAGCATGACTTGTTTGGAAATAGGGTCTTTGTCGATGTGAGGAGTTCACGTGAGTCAGACTGGATTGGGGGGTGGGGTGCAAATCCAATGACTGGTGACCTTAGGGGATCGCCATGTGACCACAGAGATGCAGGGAAATGATGGCCCTGTGACAATGGGGCAGAGGCGGGACTGAGGCACGGGACAGGCAAAGAACACTGAGGGTGCCTGGCCCACCGGAGCTGGAGGAAGCAGGGTGTCCTCGAGTGTCCGGGTCTGCGAGGGGCGCACTGCTGCTGTTTTAAGCTGCCTTGCTCTGCCCACACCGGACTTCGGGCCTCGAGTGTCCGGGTCTGTGAGGGGCGCACTGCTGCTGTTTTAAGCTGCCTTGTCTGTGGTCCTTTGTTGCTGGGCACCTGGGAAATGACTAGCACAGCTGACGGCACGGTTAATTCCTGGGGCCCAGTGCGAATGAAATTCATGGCCCTTGTTTTAAAGTCAGGGATTTGGGCTGGCCCCATGGTGCAGGGGTAATGCGCTGTTTAAGAGAATCGGATCCCACATGGTGTCCGCAGCTCAGACCCCAGCTCGGTTAGCTTGAGAGACTGGGCACACATGAGTGCTGAGATCCAAGGGGCGGGGGACGACTGGGGTCACTGCGCCAGACCAGACCCTGTGGGGGGTGCCCCTCCGTCCCTCCCTCTCGTTCATGCACACACGCTCTACCGTGAATTAAACAGAACCAAGGTTTTTGGGACCTGGCAGCAGGTTTTTTTTTTTTTTTTCTTAACTATAACAGAGGGACAGAAAGCAAGAAATCACCCCCCAGGGGGGATGGCCACACCACCATCCCTTCTCCTCCATTTCACTCTCGGGATCGTGGGCACGCACATACACACACACCCAGCATGAATTTAAGCCACCGGGTCTGGAACTCAAACCGCAGTCAACTACATGGGGGCCCAGTGACATAACCATTATGCCAACTGTTGGTCCCAACAGCAGGTTTTTGAACCGCACAGAGGCTCTCCTGAGCCCCGGGCCCTGAGGCTGCCCAGGCTGCCCCCTTGAGGCCGGCCCTGGTTGCTGGGGCTCACGAGGTGTGCAGGAGGGGTTGAAATGGTAATTACAATGTCTGATGATTAATCCCCGACAACCAGACACTACTCACTTCTTTTCAGACACTACTCACTTCTTTTCAGACACTACTCACTTCTTTTTCCGACGAATGAGCGTGTGCGTCACAGTAGCGACAGACAGTACTGCAAGAACGCCTGTGACAACACCGAGTCCGATCGCCGTGTTCTGGAGCACAGCCGCCCTCCGTGTCTCTGATCCTGTTAAAAGATCAGAGGGTTTTTAATTGTCCGATTATTAAGAGGCTGTTCTGGCTGCTCCGGGGTCCCTGGAAAGTCTCCTATCCAGACGCTAGTGAATATTAATTATGGAAATGAAATGTACATTTAACCGGAGAAAGTGCTTGCTGCTGAGAAACCTCACAGGGCCAGTCGTTGAAAGCTGATTTACTAAATGACCTCTTCGCCAAATGACCCATTTGTCTAATAACCACTTTGCCAAATGACCGATTTGCTACAAGCCAATTCTCTGAACATCCGTTTGTGGGAGGTTCTGCTTCTCAGGAATTGACAGGAAGCACCTTACCCTGGCTTCCAGTGGGGTGGCAAGGGGGGAGGAGCTAAATAGTTGTCACAAAATGCCAAAGCTTAAAAGGAAAAAAATCCTCAATAATATGATGAATTGGTCCTTCCTTTAATTGGTTTTCTACAGAGTAGTTGCTTGCTATGAATTCGCAGGAGGACCGTGGGCAGTGGCTTAGAGGAGAAAGGGAATACTCTCTTTGAGTGGAATTCTCTAAACTCTCAGTAAGTCACTGGACAGTGGGTAATCTCTCTTGGCAGAAGGAAACATGGACAGTGTCTGTAAACGACTTGCTAAAGAGGAGCTGTCCAGTGCCATTCCCTGCTCTGGGCCATCCAGGTAGAGGCTTTGAAGTCTTCATGACCAGCCCCTTGGCTCACACCCTCCCCGCTCTTTTCAGCAATGGCTGGGGCTGTGAGGTCCCAGTGCTTCCATGCTATTGAAGGGAGGCTGACTTTCTAGAAGGGCAGCCTGGGGACAGCTCTATGCCATTTCCTGAGGTCTCCAGCCTGGCTTTCTCTGTGAGCACCTTCTGCAGCCCAAAGGCACAGCCCAAAGGTTACCAGCAAGTTGAGGGCGCCCCTCTCGTCTCTGCCAGGGCTGTTGTTACCTTGCTCCAACGCTGCTGGAACACAGTGACCTGCCTGGTCTTTCCCTTTCAGGAGGCCCTTTTTGTCCTTTCCTCTCGGGACAGAGCACGACCAGGTCACCATTCTCCTGGAACGGAAGCCGGGTGTGTCTCACCTGGCTGCTGGGCGTGCGTGTCCACGAGCATTTCCTGGGTGACCGCTAGGGACCCGTTGTGAGGCTCGGGGGTCACCCCCAGGAGCTTGCACATCAGCGGGTAGATGTGGATGCTGTCGAAAGGCTCAGCCAGGTGATTCTTCTTGAAATCGGGCCCAAAGGCTCTGAAGATGGTCTTCATGTCCATGTGGACGTTGTCAAAGCTATGGTCGCCTTTGTTGATATAAATGATAAGTCGCTGGAAAATCATTTAAAAAGCCATTAGCTTCCAGTCCCCGGAAAGAAACTGTCTCTTGGTTAATTTCCCTCTCCTCAACCTGCCAGGACTTGGGGTATACACGCACACACACGCACACGGCATGTTTCTCAAGCTGCAGGACTGGGATAGACTCTGCGGTGACCATGTGGATTCCGGCTCCTCATGTACAGCCTCCGTGCTCTGGAGCTTTGGCTCTTATTTTAGTTTTATATGTGAGAGAGGGAGAAAAATGCTTTTGACTAGATCTCGCCATGTCATGACTCTTGCTCCGCTTAGCTGGGCCCACAGGCCTGTGACACCTCGCCCAGTCTGTTTAGGTGGGACCTGGAACCGAACCTAAGCCTCAGTCACCATGCAGTGGCCGGACCAACTGTTTGTTTTTTGTTTTAGCAGTTGTATTGGGGTACAGCTCCCGTATCACTGTCACACCTGTAAGTGCAGGACTCTGTGGTCCTCACGGCCCTGCACAGCCCTCATCTCTCCGTGGTAGAACGTTTCCATGACCCTGAAAACCCTGTCCCATTAGCGGTCACCCGTCATCGCCCCGCCTCTCCCCGGCCCAACCCCTCTGCTTTCTGTCCCCGTGGATTCGTCCGTTCTGGGTACTGCACAGACACAGAGTCACCCATTACACGGCCTCTCTGTGTGTGCCCCTTCACTCAGCAGAATGTTTTCAGGGTTTACCCATGTTGCAGTGCTTCGTTGTTTTAATTTTCTATTTTATTTTATTTTTTTGGCTGTGTGATACTTTGTCTATGGATAGACCATATTTGTTTACCCAATCACCTGCTGGTGGACATTTGGGTTTTCCAACTTTTGGCTATTATGAATAATGCTGCTTGGAGCGCTTGCGTGTAAATTCCGTGTGGACAGGCCTGCGTACTGTTTTGATGTGGGCAAATGAGAACCAGTGGGGCGGATTGGGGTGACTCTCCTGGCGATCCGTGAAGTACTATTCACAGATCAAGCACGCGGGCTTGGGTCACACCTCAGCCTTGCATTTCTAATCTGAAGTCACTCTTCCCTCGGCTTTGGTTTCTTCTTCATTGAAATGAAGACATGAAGAGCATCTGTTTTAGAGGGGTGTTGGGAAGAGAACACTGTAGTAGCTCACGCTATGTTGTTAGTGAAGTGTGGGGCACGACCTTGCTGACTAGCGGTGCGGGTGGTTATCCGTGATGGGGAGGCGGAGCAGTGCTGGTGGGGTGGGAAGTGGGGTGGGGAACGAGGAGGAGCCAGCGAGTCGCAGCTCCGTGCCCACCAACTGGGGTTTTAATGTTTCTGAGCCGCCCTTCTCCGTGGTTGTCTCCGGATCTAAGGGGACTTCCTTCAGTTAGGATGACTTACCCCGTTAATGTTGTAGCCAGGGTCGGCGTACATCACAATGGGCAGGACACGCTCGTGCTTCGCGAAGTGGAAGCGCTCGGGAAAGCCCTCCTTCTTGTAGACGTGGAGGTGGGGGTGCGCGTCCTTCAGCGCCTGGTAGACGGCTTCCTCTTGCCCGGGTTTGGGCAGCAGCATCCCGAAGCCGCCGTAGTCCACGATATCAAACTTGACCAAGTCTCTGAACTTGATGTAGTTTGTTAAGAGGATCTCGGTGACGTCGGGCTGCTTCTTCACCGTGGTCATGCCGTGGTCTGATGTGATGATGACATTGAGGCGCCCCGACAGGCTGTGCCTCTCCATGGCTTCCAGCAGGTACCCGATCGTCCTGTCGATTTGCTGAATCATCACCTTTCTGTTCTCGGTCTCGGGTCCGAATCTGTGTCCCGTGCTGTCGGGCTCCCCGTAGTACAGAGTCACGAAGTCAAAGTCTTCCTCGGTGAACCAGCTCATGACGGTGTCGATGTTCTCCCTCCACTCGGTCTCGTTGCCGTTTGGGTGCAGGTAGGACTCCACGAGGGACCTCTGGACGACCTCCCCCTTGTATCTGCCTCCTCCCCCTGGGTAGTGGAAGGACGCTGTTTTCCTCCCCTGCAAGGGCAAGAAGAAAATTCTATTAGTGCTATTTCTCACATCTGTCTGGTTTTTATTTATTTATTTAGTGTTTTTTTTTTTTTTTTTTTTAGTTTTTCATAGGGTACATGCTTCCAGAGAGAGAGAGAGAGAGAAAACAAGAAAGCATCCCCCAAGGGGATAGCCATGCTGCAGTCCTGTCCCTTCCATTCTCCTCTCGGGATTTTAGACATGCACACACATGTACCTGGAGTGTTTTTCAAGCTGCCAGGTCTGGCAGCTCGTAATATGGGACCCCATGCCTTAACCATCGTGCCACCAGCTGGTCCCTTCACACCTTTCTTAAAATAAGCAAAGATAAGCCAAGTTCAACTTACTGACCTCCCCACCCCAGCCCAGAGGTGTGAACCAGTGTGTGGGCTTTGGGGCAGATCCAGTTGGACTGGCTTCCTGGCTTCCCAGGAACTCAGCATCTAAAGCCCTGGAACTGGGAGGGGCGCCGGCACTGTGTGAGCTAACAGTGCCACCACTGGCTCGCGGCACTGCAGGGCTGGGAGTGGGCTCAACTTCAGAGAGCACGAAATGAGAAAAGAGAAAGAGAAGGTCATTACAGCACAGGGAAATGGACCAGCTGGCTGCCTGGTCCGGGGGTAAAGCCCTGCTCAAGGGAAGCTGATCCCACATGGCAGCTGTGGTTTGAATCCCCACGCTGGATGGCCTGAACAGCTTGCTGGGGATGCACGTGAGTGCCCAAGACCCCATGGCTGCGGGGCTAGAGGGCTAGAGGAGGACCACAGCATGGCCGGCCCCTGGGCAGGGGGCTCCCCTCTCACTCCCCTCTCCCTCGCACATGCTCTAGAGGGAAATAGTACTTCTGCACTGATGGTGTGGTAAGTTTTACAATTTCGTAGTGCCTCAGCGTGTCTACCTGTAAAATGCCAAAAGTTAATAGGGTCTTTGTGAGGATTAAAGCAGGTAACTTGGAGATAAAGCACTGGGCATTGCGTTTGGGCTTGTTGTGGGCACTGTCTCATTTGCTCCCAGCAAGGCCAAGCCACCACAGCTCTCCTGGTGCGTTTGCCTGCCCAGTGCCCAGGCCGCCTCCCAGCTCTGCCGGGTCCGTGCACGCTGACTTCCCCTGGAGCCTGGTCCCTGCCTGGTTTGGGATGTGTTAACTTCACCTCAGGGTTCAGAGGAGGGTTGTGGCTCTAGGCTGGCCAGTCAGAGGGCACTGCATCCTTGGCCATGGCGACTGATTCAGCCTCGGGCCCGTGTTCCAAGCCAGTGAGCTGCTGCCTTGGGCCTTCTGCTGGGACGGTTAGGAAGGAGAGGCTGCCCTACCTGTCCCCATCCTTGTAAAATGTTGGGGTGTTTGTGAGAAAGGGGTACTGACATCTTATCTTCTGTATAGACATCTGCTCAGCAGCTGGGCTTGACACACCTCCCCAGAGGCAGAGGGATACGGTGAGGAAAAGTGTGCTTTTACTGAGGCCGGCCCTTCTGGCTGTAGCTTTCTCCCCGTGTGCTGTGTGTTACCTAACTGCTCCCCACCTCAGTCTCCTCCTCTGTAAAACGGGGTGATGTACCTGCCTCGTGGGGTGTCTGTGAGGCTGAGGGCACGTGGGCACACGAGGGAGAGCTCAGGGAGCTTAGCTTTTCCTTGTCCTGGAGAGAGAGATGGCCTCTCTTCTCTCTCCTCCCCTAGAGGGGTGAACCAGGGAAGGGGGTGGGCGTGCATGAGAAAGTGGACCACAGACTGCGAGCCTGCCCCCGCCTGCTGGGGCCGCAGAGAGTCCGCAGTGAGGGGGCGAGGGGGCGCTAGGGGAGGCGAGGCACAAGGGGAGGGGCTCAGGTTTTACAGTGAGCAGGGCGGAGTCCTCACGCTGGAAATGAGGCTGTGCTCACAAAATGACGGCGCTGTCATGGGAACGTTGCCCAGCAGCGAGGTGGTGGGTGGTTGTTGGTAAAGCTTGGTAAGAGAAGCAAGAGAATCGTAAGTGTTCTCACCACCGAGTCGACAGGGAGATGGAGACCTCTTGTTAGTTACGTGGCTGCCAAGCAGCTCCTCAACGGCTTGGTGGGTTTTGGTTCAGTGACGAAGGGACTAATGATTTGAGAAGCAAAAGTTCCCTTTGTCCCCGCAGAGCTCTCACTTGGAGGGCTATCGTGTGATATGGTCACACAAGCCAGAATTCTGGTGGCTTTAGGAGAACCTAAGGGTGCTTTTGGTAATTTGGTATGGAGAATAGGTGACTCGGGAGAAGGGTGGGATGATGGCTCCTGGGTTGTGTCTATTTGGTCAAAAAATAAGCAACAGAGTCTAAGAAGGCCACATTGAGCCTTCCCACGGCATCTGAGAGAAGGAAGAAGGAACGCAGATCCCTACTCACCCCACTTCTGTGAGTGTGGCGAGCACTGCATACGGAAGCCATCTTGCTATCCACCATCTTGGAAACCATTAGGCTTCACTTCCTCACTGAGCAAACCAGCTCTCAGAAATCATGTGACCAACCATTCTCCCCGGAAGTGGTTGGGTTTCTAGGCAACGGGAGAGATCCCCCCACATCAATGATTGGTTCATGCTGTTCTATCTCATTTGCATTTCGGGCAACCAGTTGGTGCCCACCAGCTGTATGTAACTCGCCATTTCTCCTCAATAAACGGAAGTAGACGGGAGACTTGACCAGCACCTGGTAGTGTGTGTGCGTGTTTTTGTCCCATCTCTCACTCCCTCCCCCAAGGAACCTGTTCAACTGTCCCGCGGGCCGGGACATGTGAGGATGGCCGCAGAGACCCCAGCCGCCTGCTCTGGGAACTACCCTCAGCAATTGGCCAAATCTGGCCTCACCTGCCATGCGTTGGGACACGTTGTTCCTCCCCCTGCAGCAGCCCTGACCAGTCACCAAATGACACAGGAGGACAAAAGACTAGCTCCCTGGCCTTAGGGTGGGGTATGGTGGTGGCACAGACTAGTGTTCATCTCCAGCTGGGACTGCATCTCACTTAGCTCCTTCCCGGCCCTGTCCCGTCTTCCCCACTCCCATCTCCTGAGAGCTCTCGCTCAGGAGATGCCGTGCACCAAATCCCTGCCTCAGGCTCTGCTTTGGGGGCACTTGACCTAAGACAGAGGCCTTAATATGATGTGCTTTGAAAGAACCCAGGAGCTCTGCTGCCTATAGGTAGGCGAGGTCATGTCCCCTGCCCCCTCCCCAGCAGGCATTTTCCATTACGCAGTCCAGTTTTATTTTCTCTAAAGCACTTCCTCCAACATGAGATGACCGTAATCTGTTTACTTAGGTACTGTTTCTCTCCCCCAGAAGGTGAGCTCTAGGAGACCGGGGCCGTGTCTCTCTGGTCGACCACCATTTTCCTGGGATCGAGCTCAGGGCAGATGCTCACCATTGATGGAAAACAAGTTCAGTGAATGCATGTATGACTCCCCCTTCCTTCTGTGGGTGAAAAACCTCATCCTGTTCTCACTCCTGATGAGCTGATGGACATAGTACAGAAATTCTCTTTGGGTTTCGGCATCTTATTTGTAACCTCCACAGGTAAACCATTTTCTGCCATGATAATAGAATTTCTATGGTTGCTTAAACTTGCAAATCCTCTAATATTTATTTATTGCATTTCTGATTGGCATTAGACGTAATTCTCAGTTTTAGGTGATGGTGCTTTGTTTAACTTATGTATAAATTGACTTTGCTCTGAAATAGGAATTGATTAGAAGGATGAAGCTGCTAACATTTTGTAGAGCACCGTCGGACCGGCTATTTTATTGTTTAGAATCAGCTAACTCTGCTCTGACTTTATTAGGCAGCTTGGACTATCTGGCTCAGCTCCTGGGGTGTGCACGTTAAATTGCAGATGTTCTCAACGGGAAATTGTTTGCTTTCCCCCCCTCAAGTTTATTAATTTAGCTCTTCCATGAGAGAGCAAGCGAGTGAGCGAGAGACAGAGGGAGAGACAGGGCTCCCAGCAGGGTCCTCAGGCCATGACCCCCCCCCCCCCCGGGGCCAGCCTGGGTCACGGGGATGTGCTGCCTGCAGTGTTCAGGGTGGTCTCTGGGTATGAACCTGCGACCTTCCCATGTGTCAGTCTCACAGCATCGCTGCACCTGTCTGGCCCCTGGAATTGTTTCCTAGTGCTGTGTTCTCAACACACACTTTCTCCAAAGATATTTCAAGCTGCAGTCTTAGGGAATTATGGTTTTTCTCTGGTTTCCTAGGAGTTCCACTAGCTGTGCTGCCCTGTGGAATGAGCTCCAGAGAGAAAGGCACGTACAACTTGTGCATGTGCACACACACACACACACACACACACCACACTTGACTCTGTTTACTTGGGACCTGCGATAATCAAAAGTGCTATTTTCAACAAATACTTCTGAGAAATAATCTGAGCACTTAATTGGATGCAAAAGAGTGGGTATTTACTATTCTACCCTTTAATTAGCATAATCAGTGTTTCCAGCAGCAATAGCAGTTGGAAAATCGCTAGTTTTATTAGGCTCATTATTCTCCCTTAGTGTAAGTCGCCTCAGTGTGGCTATTACTCTTAAGTTGCTTCTTGAAAACGGGTCGGTGCCTCTCACAGGCAGGGCCTGACTCCTGGGTTGTGTAGAGTCCACCTAAGTCTTCAGGACTGATCATTCCAGGACATGTCTCACGTGGCTTTGCACCTTGTCTCTTCTTTTGGGTGATGGGGTTCATGTCATAGGCACACGTGTTCTGGGGAGGCCCATGAACAGCCCCCCACGGTTGTGCTTTGGTGGGAAGGCTGTGTGGTAGGGAACGGGGCGAGCTAGTTGTTCTAGGGGCTGGTGGGAAGAAACGGGCTCTGTGGACATATCTGACACTCAGAAGTCTAGGTCAGTTCGAGTGTCTCCCTTGACTCCAGGAGTCACTGACTACGAGGGTCGCTGTTCTCCCCCGCCTCTGGAGTCCGCCATGTTATTCTCAGAGCCTTCAATAAGGACCAGCCGGGGCCAACACCGGGGGTGCCATCCCGTTACCTGT